GTGCGCTCCTCCTTGCTGATAATTGGCGGGCTTTACCTTCATCTCGCTAAGTATGTCTGTCAACACTACATAACTTTTATTATACTCCTATAATTGCCTCTTTCCCCTTGATTGTCTTCTTACGCTTGATGAGTGACAATTATAAATATATAGATGTCTTAACCATTTTGGGTATGTCCTAAAATGCAAAAAAAAAAAAAAAATCCTTCATATATTTTTTTCTAAAAATAAAAACAATTTTTGTGTCATATCTACAAGGTATGATGATATTTTTACCCCCAACTTTACTAGTTAAGTCATTCTACTCCTTAAACTTTATTGTGTTTTCCTTTGAACTTTTACATTTTTTTATCAAATTGATCCAAATGTGACGGAACACTAACAGTGTCTTTAAGTTGATGTCAATGATTTTATCTTTTTTTACTACACCGTTAAAAATTAGAAAAAAATTAAAATTTATTGCGTCAACATTTCAATAAATATAATATAGAGTTATTGTTCTCAGTCAACTTAAAAATTAAAATAACTAAACCGATAAAATTTAAAAGTAAAATAAATTTCTTTCCCTACCTAAAGGCTAAAATTACGTAAACTTATTTAAGGGCCCTACCTTTAAGAAGATAATGAGTGATTTAGGTCAGATGGATTAATTCAATTTGAATTATTATTTAAAAATATATTGTTTTAATTTGAAATTTACTGTAAATTATATAATACCAATCTAATTTTTCTTTGAATTTTGTATTACTTTTAAAATAATGAAGCTGAATTACAAACGAGCCCAAACCCAGCATAAAAATCAAAATCAAGTAAGAAAGTTTTCATTTCTTTGATCACCATCCGACCCGGCGGCTCATACATCAAATGTCTTTAACATTGTAGTTTCGGGGTCTTATGTTAGCGATGACGAATTAAAATGCTAAAAGATTCAAATACATCGTCCCTCAACTAATTGTTAATTGATTATTTAAAAACTTCTGAAGTTTCCGATTTATCTAATTTTGAATAGGAAAGCACCTTTACAATACATACCATAAAATTATTTTATGTATAATATATTCACTTGTTATACTTTACAAATGAATATGTAAATTATTTTTTCTAATTATCAATCATGATTTAAAAATAATATATGTTCATAATTTTTTAAGTCATTGACAATGCACATTTCTTTTATCACTGATATTATTCAATAAATTCAAATATACAAATTATTAAATAAAACATTTGGCAATCAATCAATTGATAGCTCAAAAATTTAAATGGAAGCATGTCATGTATTTGGGGACAACTTCTATAGGTTAGTGTATGTAGAAAATTGGATTGGTAGTTTTCGTCGATTTTTTATTTCATTTTAATATAATTGTTGTAGTAATATTTTAAAGTAGTTTGTATTATTTTTCTGACATAAGTATTTTGTATTATTAAATTTTAATCATTGCTTGAATTATATCTTTATTTATAGCTATGTCATATCACCTTATATATATATATATATTATATATATATATATATTTCCACATCATATAAGTAATACCCGTCTAAATCAATTCCTACAAAAATAATCTAGGGTAAAGTACACAATTGGTCCCCACTATATAATATTTTGTTGAGTCTCCCTGTTATCAAAAGATAAAATGTTTCCCTGATAATAGGGTATTGCATTGTTGAGTCCCTCAACTATTAAAAGTTACATAGTGGTCACCCGACTATTTATAATTTTCAAACTCGTCATTTTCAGTTAAAAATTTGGCGGTCATTTAAGATGGCATTAACCTGCTGACTGAGATGTGATAAAATCTAATCCCATAATCATTTGAGTTGTATAGTCATTGAGATCATGGGATTTAGTTTTTCTAAAACAATTAAATTATGTACTATTTAGTAAAATTTAAAGTTCAAACTAATAAAAAATTAAAATACTTAACAAAACCCTAATGGATATTTCCCCCTTTGTTGACATGAAATTTTGAGTTTAAACTTAGGAAATTCATTTTCTTTAACAACAAATCTTAGCAACCACTTTCTACTTTCTAGCTAAAACATAGAAGGTTGGCATACCGGTTTCTTTTGGTAAAAGAGTACATATCCTCCTTCCTTTGATTTAAACATGAGGTTTTAATTTTATTGATTTTTCAATTAAATGTAATTAATATCATTGAGACGAGGGTGAATGTTAAAAATAAATAAATTACACTGCTAAAGTTTTTGGAAATTTATAAAGGGAATTTTTTAAGCGAGTTTAAACAAATGACAGTGTCAATTATTTTTAGAATATTATTAATATTCTCCTAAAAATTTGTTGTATTTTTAATATTTTATCAAACAAATATTATTTTTAAACTATATATTTGAGTTGGGAATTTAACTTTAGGGATTTTAGATAATTTAGGAAATTTAGGAGGGTTTTAGAAAATTATTGATTTTAGTTTCTTAAATAAAATAAAAGAATTAAAAATATATTTTCTTTAACGATCATTAATGATCAAACACCTTAATTGATAACTTTAAAAATATTAAACACCTACTTTAATAAAAAGAAAATCAAACATCTAAAATAACAAAAAATATATTTAAACATTATTCTTATTAAACTTTTATTTATATATATATATATAGGGATGGAGAGAGGGGGGTACCAAACACATGTAATAAGTGAACGCTTTAATATCATAAGTATGAAATAACATAAATATCGACTGCTAAAAGTAAAATATATATTATATAATTGACTATGAACATGGAAAATAACTAACAAATTAATTATTGACTAAAAATAAATTGAAATTTCAAGGAAAGCTTACAAAGAACAATTAACATTTATAAAAATATGTACAATTAATTGGCCCAAAACCAAATGATGAAAGCTGAAAGGAAAGAAAAATATATAAGCTTAAAAGTCAGCTTCAACTCCAAATTCTGATTTTTTAATATTTTTATGTAAATTCGATTCGAATATCTGAATGATTTATATAGTTTATTATCCACGAAATAACATAATATTAACATATTCATATTATATTAATATATTTGTTAATTACATTAAAGTAACGTTTTAATAATTTCAAAAAATTTGATAGTGAAAAATGTGTATTTCTTAAAGATTTATTTATTTAACTAAAAACGGGATGACTGAGATAATGTGTTGGAAGAAAGAATTTCCTACATAGTATATCCAATAATTATTTCCCGAACTAAGGTGAATGCTACAGTATAATGAAAGCTTCTTCAGTCAGTTGTGGAAGATGTATGGATTGTAATACGATTTAAATTTTTCCAAACAAAATGCATAAAAACACTCTGGTTGCATGGCTAAAGGCTACGTTTTCAAGGAGCAGGATTTTTGGCACTTTAGACCTGCTGCAAATGTAAGTTGGAGTACCAACAGAATTTTAAAATTAAGGGCTGCAGCTCTTCCAATTATTTCAGTCGGTTTCGCACGTCAAGGGAATTTGGGACTTGATTCGACTCAAAGGGCATAATGTTTCATGGCACAAACTTATCTGTTCCCATTGCATATTCCAAAGTTTAGTTTGATAGCTTGGATGGCTTTACTAAACAGATTGCCTACTAGAGATCGTCTTCTTCGAATGGGAATTAGAACTGACGAGTTTTGTGTTAATTGTAGCAACTCAAACAAGACAAGGGACCATCTCTTCTAGCAATGTTCATTGGCAGTGGAACTCTGGTATTCAATTTTGAAACTAAATGGGTTGAAGACCACTTCTTGTCATGGGAAGAAATGGTTTCAAAGGCAAGTTCATCATGGAAAGGGAGGTCTCTACTTACTACTATTTTGAAAATTTCTTGGATTGTTTATTTACTCTCTATGGCAGGAAAGAAATCAGAGAATATTTCAAGGAAGGCGTAGAATGAGTGATTGCTTACTCAAAGAAGTTAAAGACATTGTTGGAATTCGTCTGAGGGGAACAAATATTAATAGACTAGATAGTACTAACTTAATGTTTTGTAATGTTTGGGGTATAGTATAACAAATCATTTTGTAGGCTGTTTATTATGTCTTTTGTTGTAGATTGGTGATTGGTTGTAACTAAACCTTGATTTGGTAATAAAATCAAAATTATCCAAAAAAAAAAAGCATAAAATGCATAGCAAAAGAAAGATGGTAGACTACATAAAAGACACAATGTAGTTCATGCATCTTTCCCGAAAAAATTGAAGATGCATTGTTTTTGGTGTCGTTCAGGTGACACTATAACAACGATTATACTTCAAGAAATAATTCGCGAAAGATACTACGTGAAAAATTCTTTTTGTCTTATAACATTATTAAAGTAATTTTGCTAGTGGAAATTAAATAAGACATATATATATATATATATATATTTTAAATAGATTGATATCTTTCAACTAGATAACTCCTTAGTAAAGGCCGATTAAGATTTGTAATTTTCTAGAAAAAAAGTAACTTCATTATTCCATCGTTTCAAGTTAATATTATTTGATATATGTCTCTCATTTCTTAGAGATAAAATAAATATTTTAAAATTTAGAATTAGTTCAAGAAAATATTATTCACGATGGATATTATAAATTTTAACTCGAATTTTCTAATTTAAAATAAAATTTATTTAAATATTTAACTAAATAACCACTATAATCTTTTTCTTTTATAATTTTAACCTTAAATATTTTATATTAGAGTTAAAAATATTCATATTTGGGAGCATTCATACTTTATTAACCAACAATTTTTTTTATAACTTTTTTTTACTTCAAAATAAATATTTAAAGAAAAAACATAAATTAAATAATTATTTAATTAAAATATGTTTTACGGTATGCCTTCTAGAAAGCAAGTCATCGGGTTTGGTAATCTATACTGTATGCTATGATTTTATCGTCTTTTGTGACCCGTCGCTAAATTACGAGACAGTGTTGCCTTTTTATGATTGATGCAGGAGTTTTGTTTGTCGCTGAAAAAAAAAACATGTAGGACAACCTTTATCCGTGAAAAAAAGTTTAATTCTTTATTAAAATCGGTTAAAAAAACAGGATCGCATGGTTTCCGGGAAAACCTCATTGACTCTCGAGTCTCAACTCAAAAATCAATCAAGATTCGGAGCTTTCGCCGAAGATGCACTTGGAAGACACGTCCACACTCGTAGTTCCATGTGCCGCACCTCCCTTACCAAACTTTGTTGGCATTCGATTCATTGATTAACCTTGGAAGAGAAATCTCGAAAATCTTTTTCACAAGATTTTCAGCTCTCGAGTTAATCTCCGTTGCTTATTGTAACTCTCATATTGATTTTTTCAGGTCGTCGTTTAGAGTAACTAATTCCCAAGTCTCAACCGGATGAACCGAGGTTTGATTATGTTAATTCATTTTTTGTTTGATTTTTACTCTGAAATGAAGATGATAACCCAGAACTGTAGGGTCTTGTTTAATATTAAATTGATTTGTTGGCGGGATATGGTTGGTTTATATACAATAATAATTATTTAAAACGCTTTGATTGGGAATCAAATCAAAAGCGGCAATAACAATGGTAGTTGACTCATTTCTTAAAATTATAATGCTGGGTTTCCTTGTTAATGAAGGTTGCGGATAAATTAATGTCTGTCACTTTCTTCATCTTTACAGAACATTTGGGTGTTAAAATTTTCTTTCTTTTTACTAATATAGAAAACATTTATCAATTGTCTCTCTGGCGCGTTAATCACTGGAAAAAGCCCACCTGGAATTCTTCTCCTGTTGTATTTTCTTAGAAGTATTTACTTATTAAAATTACTTGCATAGGTAAATTTTTCTTTAATTGTCATTTCCAAGAATTTTGAGTTACTTATGATCTTATATTCGCAATCTACTGCATTAGACTCCAACACGGTATCAAATCCCAATTTTTCCCTGCTATACTTGCATGTTTACTTCTATCCTGATCAGGGTCTTGAGTTTCCTATGGTCTTGTATGCACATTCAGGCTTTCAATTATTGCAATTAATTAAGATGTTCAATTGGTAGGTAGCTTTTGAACCAGTCATTACCTGCAGGAGCCTTTTGTATTTGTTAGTCATATCTGTAATTTTCCATGAAATTTCCTTTATTTGGAGCCTTCAAATAGTTTAATGTAGAATAGATTTTAATGACTGTAAACCTTAACCCTTCATTTGTCAATACTTTGATTCAAGAATCAAGGATATTTTAACAGGTCTTAATATATTTAGTTAGCTAGATTTTCATCATATTCAATTATCGCAGTCATTTATGAACTAATCGTCTAAAGGTGACTTTCAATGATTTTCATGGTTGATCTTATTTGTTTTGCAGGAGGAGATATCTTTTTCTGTCATTGAACTCTTCAGGTAGCATAGTTTGTCAAGATTATATTGGTTATGGGAGGTAAAAGCTCAAAGGATTTGAGTGGAAGAGGGTATCCACAAGCAGGCCCGGTGGTTCAGATTCATGGAGTCATTATGGATACCCTCCACAATCAGGTATCCCCCACAAAATGCTTATTATACACCACAGCATCACTATGCTCCACCTCCCTCAAGTAATTACAGATCGCGAACATCCCGTCAAGGGCATAAGATTGTGAAATACTCAAGGATAGATGATAACTACCAAACACTGGACCAGGTTAGCCTCTTGATGCGCAGTTCTTATGAGTGTTATCTGTATTGTCCTTGTTTTGGTTAACATGAGAAAGCATGTGGTTGGTGGTGATTGTAAACAGGAATATTTGACCAAAATGGAGATTATATCTATGACCCGGCTATAAGTGTTGGACACGGGTTATGCATTTGACATGGGTACACCGTACACCCATTTTTTTCAAGTTTATCCACATATTAAGAGGGTCTTTTGAGGTTCATATCTTGATATCAATAACTGACAGACACTGATGTTTGACACGGGTATTTCAGGAAAAGTGAAGAGTTGGAGTAACGTAGCTAAGAACATCCGTCACCTGACATGAAAGCCTGAGAAGAAATCAATTGTCAAACACAAAAAATTAAAAACTAGTTTAGACTTGTGAAAAAAATTGTTGGACTAAAACTATTTAGATGGAAAGAACATCGTTCCTTTAACCTTTTTCTGTCAGCTATCTATCGCAGTTGAAAATATTTTGAGCGTCTAGATGGAATACGTATAAATGGAAAACTGCATCCGGATGCTATGTAATTTGATACGATGCTCAAAATTTCTAAATTTTTTCGTGCATTTGGAGGGTTTTTGGAGGGTCATATTGACATACTTGTGTCCATATGTGTTGAACATGGATGTTTGACACTGGTACTTAAAGAATGAAGCTGCCAAAATTTTGAGCGTCTAGATGGAATACGTATAATGGAAAACTGCATCCGGATGCTATGTAATTTGAACGATATGCTCAAAATTTTCTAAATTTTTTCGGCATTTGGAGGGTTTTGGAGGGTCATATTGACATATTGTGTCCATATATGTGTTGAACATGGATGTTTGACAACTGGTACTTAAAGAATGAAGCTGCCAAAATTTAATTGGGGTGCCTCATGAGGACTGGAGAAGGATCAGCTTCTGGTTTTCACTTAGTAGATTCATTTAATTGACTACAATAATGTATTGTCTGTCTTCCTTGTGACACTTTGCAATGTTTTAAGTTGATTTTTTTCCTGTTTCTGCCTATATGTTGCTATGCATGCGGAAAATTTCTTTCATGGTATATGTATTTATCTATGTAGGATAGTTTGTACTTCATAAAATTATGAAAAAAAGACATCTTCAGTCAACGAAATTGCTGATTGCAGGTTACTGCTGCCTTGCACAAGCTGGCCTTGAGTCCTCTAACCTTATTGTTGGTATTGATTTCACAAAGAGCAACGAATGGACAGGTATAACTACTGATTCTATCTGATGTGTATTAAACGACCTGCAACACACCACTTAACTTTGCTGGAAATAGGTGCAAGGTCATTCACCGCAAAAGTTTGCATCACATTGGGAATGGCCAAAATCCCTATGAACAAGCTATATCAATTATCGGACAGAGCTTATCCGCTTTGATGAGGATAACTTAATTCCGTGTTATGGATTTGGAGATGGTAAAGTTCATTGAAATGTTTCTTACAATTTACAATTAATTTGTTTCTCTATTTGGATTATTAAATTTCGCTTCACATGTCTTCAGCATCAACACATGATCAAGATGTTTTCAGTTTTCTACCCTGATGAGAGATTTTGTAATGGATTTGAGGAGGTGCTTGCACGATACAGAGAAATTGTTCCCCAGCTTTCGGCTCGCAGGTACCAGATTTATACTTGATCCCTTGGATTATTCTTGTTATATATCCATCTTGATGTCGAACCAGTCAATTCTTACAACAGCCTTTTATGTTTGTTTATGCAGGACCGACATCTTTTGCACCCATCATTGAAATGGCCATGACTATCGTCGAGCAAAGTGGTGGTCAATACCCATGTTTTGCTGATAATTGCCGATGGGCAGGTAATATGTAAGGAGAACTTGGGTTATTTGTTTCAACATTCGGTATATACACACTCGGGCTAGGAGTAGACCGAAACTGAGACATGCTAAGAAAACTTGACTGGCATAACAAAATATTTTGTTACAAGGATAAATCATCTACTAATCATTTGGTATAGGGGGTCTCTATCGCTCTAAATCCGATAGTTTACTGCTGATATCGATAAGGTAACTCTGGATAATTTAGAGAAGAAAAACTGGAAGAAGCATCCATTTGGTATAGGGTCACTATCTCTCCGGATCCAAAGGACATCTGATCATTCTGATGTTGATTGGGCTAACAAATTGTCTGAAGACTATTATGAGTCATCCGTAATATATGTCTGGACGAAATCCAGATCACAGTTTCTGACATTTTTGTTTCATGTATCTCCTAGGTGACAGAAGTGTCGATACACAGCATGGTCAGCTTAGCCCTCAAGAGCAGAAGACATTGATGCAATCGTTAGTGCAGGTGACTACCATTAACTCACCACTTGCTTTAGATTGTCTTGCACGGTATGGTCTAACATAGTTCATTTGGTTGCAGTGAATTCCCCTTGTCAATTGTCCTAGTTGGGGTTGGTGAGGACCTTGGACATGATGAGGGATTTCGATGATAACATCCCTGCTCGTACTTTCGACAATTTTCAGGTGAGCAATTTTTATGTCTCTTGTTATTGTTGAAAACTGAAATTACTAGTCTTGGATGTTTTCACAGTTCTCTTCCCTTTTGTCTACCGTTGAATGTTCTTAGTTGTTAAATTCCACTTCTTTCTTGCCTTACTAGTTTGTGAACTTCACTGAGATTATGTCAAAGAAACGGATCCATTGAGAAAGCAGGCAGAATCGCTCTTTCAGCCTTGATGGAAATACCTTCTCAGTAAAAGCACTATTGAGCTCGGCCTATTGGGGTAATTATTAAAATATTTATCTATGTTTGACTCTTCATTCTTACAGTACCCATTTTTAACACACTTCCGGGCATCCATATGGGCTATGACCCTCCAAGAACTCTTCAATATCTGAAAAAACTTAAACAATTGAATATTTAATCTCGGACATATATTCATACGATACTTATGTTCATTTCTATAACTGTTTAGTAATGTATCATTAATTTCTAATTGTTTTCTTTAATTGATAAACCAGAGGAAGAAAGGGAAACACTTCGGAGAGAGTCCTCTCCACCTCCTATGTATGGTGCCTCGTCTTTCAATAACCAGAAGTCTTATTCTCGCACGAGCAGTTTCCAGCAGGATGCATCTCCATATTCTCAATCCAGCAGTTTTAAGCAGAATGCATTTCCGTATTCTCGCTCAAACAGTTTTCAGAAAAACATACCTCCTTATGCGGATATGATAGCACTGCTACCACAGCCACAGGTCCATCTTATGGACGCTGCTACCATAGCCACAGGTCCATCTTCGAGCTCCCTATACGATAATCGGGTATGTGAAACCTTACATTGAAATAACGCTAGTTAAACAAACTGCCACGCTTTCAGGCCAGTTATGAGGTGTAACAATGGTTGGTTCGGTTCAATTTGAAAGAAAATTTGTAGTTATGTGCTATATTCTTATCCATATACCGAACTGACCCAAACTAAGGTACCAATCCTTTCTTCTTTTAACCCTTTCTCTCTTAATCTTGACAGGTTTGCCCCATTTGTCTTAGTAATCCCAAGGACATGGCCTTTGGTTGTGGACATCAGGTTAGTTAGTTAGTCTCTTGTTCCCATTGCTCTTTCAAGCACGGGTTATATTCATATTCGGTTTCTTTAAGATTCGAAATGTATTTGAAAAATCTTTGGAGGATCGTATTCTGATGACAATATTTTTTAATGCAACTACTTTGAGAAAAATAAAGAGGCGGAACAACAGTGATAAATCTATATATATGTCAAGACTGAATATTGACATCTTTCCCTTAAAATTTGACAGACTTGTTGCGAATGCGGCGAGGACCTCCAAGTGTGCCCCATGTCGGAGTTCCATCCAAACTCGGATCCGGCTTTATTGATCAGTCTTTGTAACCACGTTTTTGGTTCAGTAGACAGAGCCGAACAAGCATTCAATGTCTGGAAGCAATGAAAGGTTAGCCCTTGCCCATGATCTGAAAACTGAGGAAAAAAGTTTAAGGTTCCATTGATGAGCCTTATGTATAGGTCAAGGGGCATAATCTCACCTGATGCGTCCCTCTGCATGGTAAACTCGCTGCTGCTTAGCTTGGTCGAGGTTCATGATGCCGGTAATGCGAGTCCAGACCTTGAGGTTCGAATATATGTGTCGTGTTCATGCATTTTTCTTTCTTGGGAGTGGGATATAACTGGTGTGGTGTTGTCAGGTCTAGACATAACCCAACCATTCAAAGCTGAAAAAGGGAACACACACAATGGAGACTTGTTGCCACACACATTGTATCTTTTATTTTTAATTTCTATGCATGTACTGCCATAAATCAATCATAGCTCAACTATAATCGTCTATGTCAAACGCCGCCGTAGCCAGGGGTCCCACTTATTTAGCCGCGGCATTAGGTATCTCCCACAGCAATATGAGATCCATTCTCTCATTCTTTCCAACAGGGTCAACAAAACTGATCTCGTAGCACTAATCATTATGTTCATCATCTTAATATATGTCGAAATTAATCAAATGGATTAGATCATCAATTTTAATTAAATTTAATATTTGTTATGGTTTTAACGTTGATTATCGAATATTGTTAATGAGAAAAAATATTTTTTTCAATTGTTGATAGTTCGCTTTTTTTTTATTTAGGCAAAGAGTTACTACCAACAAAAAAAAATATTGTTGACCGATATTTTTCTATGAGAGAATTGAAGGCATAATGGAGAATGCAATAAAAGAGAAAATCTCTCGTTTCTACTCAGTCATAGGTGATCAGTATTATAATTATTCTAACTAACAATATTATATAAAAGATTATTATGACTATTTGTAGGTCAACAAAGACAGATCTTGAATTTTGTCTTCATAAATTTTTATTCATACGTTATAGTTGATTCAAAATCATGGTGTTCTCGTCTATAGGAGCCATGAATTTTTTTAATAACTTTTAAAGATTATCTACGAAAATATAATAAATAAATATTTAATAAAAAATACGTAAAAAAAACTACAATCTTTTTATTTACTGATTTATTTATTTATAAACAAAATCAAATCAGCCTGATGCAAACTTCTAATCACAACACAATCAAATGTTGCAAACTATAAAGCAATCGGATATCAGTAAGAAGAAATTTTATTTTCTATGCCAAAACTATAAAACCTGAATAGTAAGCGGAAACTAATTTAGATATTTAGAAGACGAAGTAGCCAACGACAACGCTAATAGCTACACAGACGGCGGAGAAACCGCCTTGGGTGGTGGTTGCACTGTTGCTAGGAGCCTCAGCAGGAGATGTATGGCCCCCAGCTCCAATGGGGCCTTCAACAATATCACCAGCTCCAACAGGACCACCGCTATCGCCGGTGTTACCGATGACATCATGATCATGGTTGGGCATGGGGATTCCTCTCTGGCTGCTAGTCGGCGACGCATTATCTTCGGCGGAAACCAACGCAACAAAGGCAATGTTGAAGAAAAACAAGAGCAACGATTTGACGTGCCATATTTGAAAAATGTTGGGGGTTTCTTCACGGTATTACTGGAGATTGGTTGGGAAAAAGAAGAAGTGGTTGAAATTTTAGGAAGAGCGATTATGGTGGATAAATCTAATGAAGAGTTTGTTAAACAAATGACAAGCGATGACATATTACGGGGGAGGGAGAGATTGGTGATGAATATGATGGGAAAAGCAGGGTTGAGATCCCACACGAGGATAGAGGATTCAGGAAAACCATGCATTTTCTTTTTGTTCATGCAATTTCATGAGGGCAAGTGTCATTACCCACAAGAACGGGATAGCAGTGGTTAACAGAGCTTGAGCTGTTTCATTAATTTGTTCTTGTTTCAAGTAAACAACAGTTCCAAATGAAATGTATATCAACGATGAGGCCGGTTTCGAGTCGAGCCACTCGACGCAGTCGTCGGGTTTCATCATGTCACAACGAACCGTGTCGTTTAACACTTCAGGGTACTTGAATAGTGGACCAACAATCTTTATAGGGCAAACTTGGACATATATCCAACTGTTGCCGCTCGAGTTCTTCGAAAGTGTCCATCAATACACAAAAAAGGCTTATCAAGTTTCTTGAACTGAACAAGAACGGTGGTTCTCAAATAAGGATTAGGAGTCGAAGGGTGCAAAAGCTAGGAACTTCATCTTGCTTGAGAATCGGCATGGCAGGCAGCCGAACATTAATTTCCGGATCACTTTCACTAGGAAACGGCACCAACCCATGATTAATGGTGATATGCAGCAAAACAGCAAAGATTGCACCCAAAGCACTGCAGAATGGATGCAAGGCTTTTGGCAACATCAAGGAATGGTATTGATGATGCAAGAAACGGGCAGTTCTGCTCGGGTTATTTCGAAAAGTAAAAAGTTAATTTTTAAAGATTTTTGCTTCAAAAATAATATTTAAAATTTTAAGTTCTTCGATTATCTTTAAGATAAGAAGAGTATATTTAAAAAAATGATTTTTGAAGGAAAAGAATGAGAAATTGATTTCTAAAGATTTCTTGTTTAGTTATGTTTTCACATCACTAAATCTAAAACTAAAATTTAAAAAATATAAAATTTAACGATATTTATATGTATTAAATTTTGAACAATTTTATTGAAAAATCTTCGATTATCTCTGATCAACATAAGTCTACTACCATCCCATAGACATTTCTAGTTGAATCAATCTTGTATTCAATTGAATGAGCTACGATATTGTGTATTCTTATATTTTGGTTATTAAATCCTGTAAATATTACAAAATGATCATGAACTTTAAAAATATTATAAATGGTCAATAAGTTAATTTTTTTTTTGGAATTGAGATGAGGAAGAAGCCTAGACAGCTACTGAGAGCTTAGCATAGGGAGGTCTTTGAACATCTCGATTAATTAGAAGACGTATGGAAGCCGAAACAAGCGAAGCATATAATCACAAGGTAGTGCAAACTTAGACATTCCATCTGCAACCATGTTTCCTTCTCGAGAAAATGGTTAATAAACTATTTATAATTACAAAATTGGAAAATACTTAACTTAGGTGGACATACTCAGTCAACCCATTACTAGACTGTTAATAACTTCTAACAATTATGTCGTAACCGTTCTTCGGGTGAGCCCGGAATCAGGTTCTGACTTAATTTCGATATGATGGAGTCGCC